AAATCTCACCGGCTCAGGGTTGACTCAGCCTTCCATCCTTCCGAGGTGGGTAAAATGAGGACCCGGATTGTTGTTGGGGGCGATATGCTGTCTCTGTAAAACCGCTTAGAGGCGGCTGAAAGCCCTATGAAGCGGTATATAAGTCTAACTGCTATAAGTCTAATTGCTATTTTTCTCCATATTGTGTCTCCTTTCAAAGCAGTTAAAGTTTAAATTAAAGTTAAAGGCACAGAAGCAATAAGAAGTAGCTTTGGTTTGTGGCCACTCTTGTACTCAGGTTGCTTTCTTGGAAGACGAATGGTTTCTTAAACCAACCACTGCTTTGATGCTGGATGGTGATACATTAACCAACAGCAAACTATGTGTGTAAATTAAGCTAAAGAATATCACAGCTTTAGGTTGTTATACAAATCGCTTCGATGTTTCTCCATTCATGAATTCTCTCTTACTGTTCCTAACTACTGTTCTTTATAGGAAGTTCTCAGTAAAATGGCACAAATAGTAAAGGAGGTTGATGCCTTGGTGAATAACATATTAATAGAAGAGTTATTGGACTGGAAGAGACGGCAACAAATCGCTTGCATTGGAGGCCCTCTCCACAGTGGGCTTGATCAGCTGCAAAACTGGTAAAGTGTTATCACTAGTTCCTCTCTATAGCGCAACAGGAAGTGTGATGCTGTGTGGCTTTTCCATCTCAGTTTAGTCAATAAAAAAAAAATTCTTCTGAGAGATTAACAGAAATTATCGTTAAGCAATTTCTAAGAATCGGGAGACTCAGAAACGGAGATCGTGTAAAGAGGTATTGGTTGGCAACAGGTAAAGCTTCTTTAAATGATCTCTGTTTCTGACTCTTCAGATTCTTAGAAATCGTTTAGCAGTAAAATAAAAGTTAAAAGGCCCCAAGTTGAATCATACGATGTTTTTGTACCAAATTGTGAAGCCATTGTGAGGATATTAGCCAGGGGTGTGTTTCTCGCCCCGTTCCAACCGGTTTGGTTGGAACGGGGCG